CCCATACTGCCTGTGTGGTGGTGGCACCTCCATTCCCTTTCACAGGAAGACAAGCCAAATTGTATCTACAAGCTAGAACATGAACTTCCAGGTATACTATAGCTGGAAAGTCACATGCCTCCAGTATATAAGTGCAGCCAGAGGTAGCAGAGACCAGCCCTGAGCAGTCTCCTCAACTGCCCTCTTGAGAACTTGCCACAGCTCTCTGGATATGTAATTCTATACCTGAGAACAGAACTACATCTGGGAGAAAGGCTATTCTTGGGTTTGTCTACAGAGACTCCCCAAAGCTTGTATTTCTGAGACTCCATATATCCATCCCAGGAGTGTACTAAGAGCCCTCATAAACGTGATGCAAAAAGAGAGAACGGCAGCCTTAGTAATCCCACTTCCTGTTCCAATCAGCAATCACACCACCCTAAGTCTTAAAAGTCTCAGACAAATGGAGTCAAGAAGTAATGCAAAAGGAGGAGGAAATGCCGTCCAGTTCCCTAACAGCTAATCACCTTTAACTGTATGCCTCGAGCTGAGTACATAGCCCTGTCACAGCTACACTACCTTCTATGCTTTATAGTTGATTGATGAAGGAAGCTGGTTATCACATAAGCAGTCAGCAAAGAGCATGATGTAATACTGTGTGGGACAGAAAGCCTGTGACGTGTGCCTACTAATGCTTTCTTCTAATAAGTATATTGGTGAGAGGAAACAACTGTGTATATTGATTGAGATATATATTCAGACGTACAGCCACACCTGTTTGTAGAATGCCATAGACCAGTTGGAGTCATGGGAGAGAAAGCCCCTGGAAGGGGTTGACTGTGATTTAGAAGACCAGCATCAGAAAGCAGTCAGAGCATGGTGGACATGGGCACTGGTATGAGTCCAGTTGTGACAGCCAGAATGAATGTGAAGAGAGAAATGCCTGGAGTGGTGGGTGAAGCAGCCTTGTCAGAGCCTATGAACAAGCAGTCACACTTGGGTGATGTCACTTTCAAGCCCTGCTTCCAGCCTAACTCTGAAGTGCACCTTAAGGCTCATCTCCAGCATCTACTAGTGAACTTATTTGTGCCACCTCCTTTGAACAAAAATATAATAGTAATAAGAGAATCTAGTACTTCCTTAATGCTTTTTATGTAAACATATCTGTGTGAAGCCTTTCCACGGGCATTATTGGTTAATTCCACAATACATGAAATGACAACACTATATCCTAAGTGGGGAAAAAGCCTCACCCACCATGGCAGGGGCCATGATTGTTATTCCGTACTCAAGTAAATTTGTAAGGACAGGGACCAGAGGCTATTTCTATTTGACACCCCAGTGTCTTATATGGCAGGACTTAACTGATGCTTATGAAATAAACAAGAAGAGATTGCCAAAAAAGCAGCCTAGCTCTGGGTCCAGTAAGCCAAGGCAGATTGCCAAAGAAAATCAGAGATTCTCGCTCATGAGGAGCAAGAGCTCTAGAAAGCTTGGATCTCAGAACAGCAGGACCTAGAATGAAGTAAGGTCTGATGGGCTGCTGCCTCTGAGTCCAGCATTTGATGGTGGGATATTGTAGTGGGGGATATATTCAAGCATTTACTCTTTGATACCAGTAAGTTTTGTCCTGACACATGGGCAGGTTGGCAAATAGATGAGTTCAGGACTTAGGCTGGAAGGGATATGATGAACTAGGCAGCATCAGGGACAATAAGAAAAAATTAAAACAGATGCAACACAGTCACTGAGAGTCAGAGTGGCCACAGCCTTCAGTTATTAAACAAGTGACAACCATTGGTTGTTGGGTCTTGCAATAGTCCTGTGGTTCCCTGGAAAAGCCAGAGCAGATGATGAACACTTGGATGAAAATTCTAACACCTGAAACATTTCATACCAGTAACAATTGTAGGTCCCCACATGCAGATCTTAATTAAAGAATGCCACTTGGGTATGAGGTCAAAATTATTTTATTTTATGCGTATAAGTGTTTTAGCTGTATGTGCACCATATGTGTGTCTGATGCCCTTGGAGGTCATCAGAGGGCATCAGAAACCATGGAACAAGAGGTACAGATGATTGAAAGCTGTCATATAAGTGCTGGGGACTGAACTTGGGTTCTTAACCACTTAACCACTTAACCATCTCTGCATCCACAATGAGGTTGAAATTTAATTGTGAGAGAAAGTAATTTTCCAAAGCCATTTTCCCATTTTGAGGGTCTTGTTAAAACTAGATAATATTGTCTGTAGCCTATTTATCAAGCACAGAAAAGCTAAAACTTCTCAGTGTGGCAATGATGATGGGTAATTGAACCACTGCAGACTCCTCCATATTGTACAAGCTCCATTCTTACTGCAGGACTTCTGGTGTACTTTGTGGAAACTGACTTTCTGACATGCAGACCAAGAGGCTAAGAGCCACTTAGCAAGATTTATTTCTCTTACAGATAAATGCAAGGCCTAACATATTTCCCCTAACACATTCACCACAGTGAATGGTCTGTAAGGTGCCTTTATTACCCTGGTGCTGGAGGCTAAGGCAAGATCACAAGTTTAAGTGAACCTATGCTACTTAGTGAGATGCAGGCCATCTGGGGCAATTTAGTGGGACCTTGTCTCAAAGTTAAAATAAAAAGAAGGCTGGGGATATCACCCGGGAGAAGCATGTTTCCTAGCACCACAAGGCTGTGGGTTCAGTCCTCCATACCCATTGCAAAAAAAAAAAAAAAAAAAAAAAAAAAAAAAAAAAAGAAGAAGAAGTATTTATCCTTTTGGAGCCATGGAACTGCTAAATTGTTTTTCTGCTTTGCCATGTATAAATCTAGAGCTTCTAGAAGTAATTTCCTTAAATCCTTAAAATTACCAGTTGCTAAACAGTCATTCATTTTCCTCAAACACAAAAGAAGTTGTTGGAAGTCAGCCAAGAGAAACACTTAAGCTTTTAGACAGAAGCAGGCTGTTATTAAAAGCCACAGTGACCATTAACAAAGATGATGTCATAATTAAATGTCTGGGATCCTGGGGATCCCTGTGGCTAAAGAGAGGCAACCGTGATCTTTCCAAATCGGTTAAAAGACACCTACCTAATGGTGTTTGGTAACAGTGGTGCACACTCTTAATCTCAGCACTTGGAAGGCAGAAGCAGGCAGATCTCTGTGAGTTTAAGGCCAGCCTGGTCTACATATTGAATTCTGGGACATGCAGGACTACATGGTGAGACCTTGTCTTAGAGAAAAAGAAAGAAAGGAAGGGAGGAAAGGAAGGAGGGAGGGAGGGAGGGACGGAGGGAGTGAGGGAGGGAGAAAGGAAGGGAGGAAGGAGGGAGGGAGGGAGGGAGGGAGGAAAGAAGGAAGGAAGGAAGGAAGGAAGGAAAGAAGGAAGGAAGGAAGGAAGGAAGGAAAGAAGGAAGGAAGGAAGGAAGGAAGGAAGGAAGGAAAGGTGACCAGTCTGTAGGCAAGGGAGGATCCTGCAAAGGAATCTGGGAACTATCATGGTGGCCCCTGCTTGAAAAAACTGTTGGCAAGCACCAGGGATGTATGAAACTGGTAACTGGGGCTAGAGAGATGAGTTAAGAGCGCTGGCTGATCTTCCAGAGGTCTTGAGTTCAATTCCCAGCAACCACATGGTGGCTCACAACCATTTATACTGGGATCTGATGCCCTGTTCTAGAATAAAGGCATACATGTGGATAGAGCATTCATACCTATAAATAAATAAATAAATAAATAAATAAATAAATAAATAAATAAATCTTTTACACAACAACAACTAGTAACTGTTAGGTCTGCAGCTACAAGCTGATGAGGCCATACCCACCTGCAGCAACCTCCTTCTTACAACTGCTGAAGAAGAAATGGCAATGTGGTTACCAGGATCCTGTCTGGGAATCTCTAACCCTCTAACAGAATCTTCAGGTATCTGGATTTCACAAGAATGATAGGTGCCATGGTCATTTTTCCAAGGAAGTTACAGGCTCAAGTTGCCAGACTCCAGGATAACACAAACCTACCGTTAGCTGGCAAATCCCCAACCAGTATAAGGGTCTGCCATAACTAAACGTGCCCCTCTTGTCCCACATCATCAGAATAGCACATTCCTTCCCAAAGGCCAAAGCTGGAATAATATGATCAATAAAGTAACCAAGACAGGGTTGTATCAAAAGCCAAAGTAGAAAACAATAGTCACAAGTCTATCTTAATATGTATCAATTCTGACATAGACAAATTCTCAGGACAGAATAATTTCAAAGCAGGAGACACTAACAAGCAACTACCTCAGCTTGATGGTTGTGATCCACACCAACAGAGACGATGCCCTCTCCCCCTGTGGCCTTCCCCTGAAAACCTTCAGACCCACTGTAATTGTGAGAAAAGCTGGACTTAACTAGTAGAAAGTATTGTCCAAAATACCTGACACTCTCCACAAGATCCAGATTATAAAAGGCTTAGGGCATCTGAGTATTGTCATAGCTAAAGCAGGCCTAAGGAAATGACTAAATATAATGTGCTTTGCTTGAATGAAAGCCTAGATATCACATGGGCATGGTAAAAATAAATAAATAAATAAATAAATTTGAATAATCTATAAACAAGCTATAAACATTGAACATTAACTGTATAATGGGTCACTCTGTTTGTTCAAACTTCAATATATGCCACACTAACCTAAAAAGTCAGGGATAGTGTGTGTGTGTGTGTGTGTGTGTGTGTGTGTGTGTGTGTGTTGGGAGGGGGACAGGGACATTATTCTATAGTCTGGTTTTCTATGGGTCTCAGCTTCTTTTTTTAAAAAAGTCAAAATCTAGTCTTGATGAAGTGACTGTTAATGACTGCCTTCCTCATTTGTCTTACCAGGAGGCCTCATTGTATCTAGCACAGAAAGTCCCCTTTTAAACAGCAGAGATGGGGTCTGGGTCCATCCTTTTTCACTGATTCACACTAACTTTAGTTGTCTACAGATGGAGCAGCTGATCCTCGGCTTCCTGCATATTCATTAAGTCTGTGTTCTTTTCTTATCCAGGGCATGGCCTTCACACTCGAAGAAAGACTGCAGCTTGGCATCCATGGCCTGATCCCGCCCTGCTTCCTCAGCCAAGATGTCCAGCTCCTCCGCATCATGAGATACTATGAGAAACAGCCAAGCGACCTGGACAAGTCAGTGGCTGAAGTCGGTTCTCTGTGTCCAGGCCTGAGGCTGAGCTGCTCTGCCCTGCAGCTTCCAGAGGGTTTCTAAATTCTCTGTAACTAGGAAAGGCTGAGAACCCTAGAGACTTCCGATCCAGCTCTACCTTAAAAAGAGTTATGGTTTCCCTAGAGATGAGGCTTACAACAGACACACAGCTAAAATGAACCTGGATTTGACTAGTGGAGCCTGGGCGGCCATATGAGAGATGTTAGAGATGAGTCAGTCCCAGAAGCCTTGATGGAACAACTCAACAGTCAGCAGGGACTTGGGGAGGTCAGAGCAGAAGGAGATGGGCCAAAATCTGGAGACATGGGTCTGTTAAGGTATATAGCAAAAGGAAGTGGAGGAAAGGGAGATGGAGAGAGGATGCATTGGGAAGGATCTAGATACTATGTTAAAGGTCACGGCAAATAAGAGTACTGCTTCCTCTTACTACTGCTCAGTGGAGACACAACCGCAAAGATCCCCTTTCAAAGCCTTTGAGTCTCTTACTAAGGATGGTAGTCACCACCCAGGTACACACCCTGAGTCAGCATGGGATTTAATCACCACGGGCTCCATCCAGCATCTATGATTTTAACTTCTATGCTGTACATAGCTCAGAGATGGCAAAGCCTGGTTATTAAAAGACTAATCTAGAATGAGTGAAATCCACCTTCCCACATGGAATAACTAAAGCTACTTTTCCAATCTCTGTCTTTCACCTGTATAGTGACTGTGCCAATGGTATCTGACTCATTGGGTCTTAAATGCATGTCTTTGTGATGTGCTTAAAATATTGCCTGGGACATAGGAAACCCTGTGTAAGTTTGTTACACAAATGTGTCCTCTTGCTATGGGCTCTAGCAGATATATAGGAAGAAGATAAATGTTCTTTCTGTATCCATTGAGCTAAATGCCCATGAAGGGCAGAATTCAGTAGCACATAAGGTTCATTCTGCATCTAGTGCCTCCTCTAAGCCAACCAGAGCTTCTAAGAAGCAGTTAACAAGCATGGATGGCCCTGCCCACTCCTAAAGCACTAAACTCCAAGGATATTACTCACATTAACTCTGAGACCATATTGCCACCAAGTCAAATATTCTCTCCCTTTTATTCACCTAGTCACATCACCTTGAAGAGAAAGCCAGAAGTTACACAACAGATTATACTAACAAACTGATACTTACCCAAATGTTAAACAATCAGAAACTCTTGTTAAATGGACCAAAAAGAACAAAAGTCAAAAAAATAAAATGTTTGCTTAAAATAGGAAATTATAAAAGCAACAATCTCTAATGTTTGCCTTCTCAATGCTATCTAACTTAATGGGCCTCACTTACTTGCCTAAAATAATGCTCTATAATCAGGAAGTGATAAGTGTGCATATTCCTGAGAGCTCTAGAAGGCTTGATCCTGGCTCTCTACTTTCCTACACTCATTCCCAAGAGTCTATCAATTCAACAAGCTAAGAAGGCTATCCAGCCATACAGACTGTGGTTTGCTGATAAGTGTTCCATCGAGGAGGGAAGCAGAATGTAGAATTGGAGAAAAGTGCACACTAATGGCTAGGGATATGGGATGCCCTACACTGGCAGTGGGTTGAGGGCATGCCTACCCCTGTGTGTAAATCCTCCCTGGAGCAACGTTCCTATTCTTAAGCACAGTGACATCATCCAGGATCTATAAGCATCAGTGTCCCTGAGATCAGCTGGCTTCTTCTTTCCTTTCCAAGGTATATCATTCTCATGACTCTCCAAGACCGAAATGAGAAGCTCTTTTACCGAGTGCTGACCTCAGATGTGGAGAAATTCATGCCCATTGTGTACACACCCACTGTGGGGCTAGCCTGTCAGCAATATGGTCTGACCTTCCGCCGACCGCGGTGAGTACCTACTAAAGGGGCCAGGGAGAGACTCGTCTGTAAACCCATAGAATGGAAGAAATAGTTTTGAGTGGCCTTGCTTCTTGACCCTTAGAAGCTACCTTAGAGTCGATGGCTAACAAGGAGACTTATGATTTTTAAACACATGCTCAGTAAAATAACACCACCAACCTGGAATGCGCTGAGAGAGAAGTCAGCAAGGAGATGTTGGATCTTTCTCCACCTCCCAATGATAAATGTTCAACAAGATGCTTGAGGTTGGCCTGAGAAGTAGTTCCATTGTTTTCACAGTCTCCACGTGTCACCTCTCCATGTCCTTTCCCTATTCTGTTCACATCCACCATACCTACAGTCCTCTGAGTAATTGAGGACAATGAATAGCACCAGACACAAAACACATGCTCTCTTTCCAGTCCTTAAATAGTATATATACCTCCATTTGGAGTTAGTTGACTTAGATTCAATAAAAAAAGAAGTCTCTTTCCAGCCCTTAAATTGTATACTTCCATTTGGAATTGACTTAGGTTCAATACAAAATGCCTCTTTTCAGCCCTTAAATTATATACCTCCATTTTGTTGACTTAGATTCAATATGAAATGTCACTTTATAAGCAAAATCTATGGCATTACATTTTCTCCTAAAACTAAAGGGTTGGAAAGTAATTTTCTAAAGAAATAGTTTTTGCCTTCATTTTCAGTACTGAAAAAATATATGTATAAAATATTTGTGGTAGAAAAATAGGAAAGTTCTCAGTACAAGGTACCTGATCTATGTAACTATATATAGTTCTTGCATTAATAGTAAAAGAAAGATCTAGATATACTATATGTAATAGAACATAGGAAAGCTATAATAACTATACAGTATCCAGTAAACCAGTGGTTCTCAATGTTCTTAATGCTGCAGCCCTTTAATACAGTTCCTCATATTGTGGTGATTCTCCCCAGCCCCAAATTATTTTCATTGCTACTTAATAACTGTAATTTTGCTACTGTTATGAACTGTGATATAAATATCTGTGTTTTCCCATGGTCTTAGGTGACCCCTATAAGGGGTTGGTTGACTCCAAAGGGATTGCAACCCACAGGTTGAGAACCACAACAAAACATATGTGTAATTTACATTTACACATTCAGAATATCCGTGTTTGAAACTGTTAAAGAATAAAAAATAGAAACAAAAAAAAATCTAGCTAAGGGGGAAAGAGAGCACATATCAGGGCCTATGGAATCAAGATAAAACTAATTAGGGTTAGGAGTACACAGAAATCAGAACCTCTCAAACCACTAAGATGACTAGGTCTCCCTGGGTCTGTAGGTGACATGAGGAAGGCTGGTGATGACCTTTTATAAACTGATGAAATCTGACTACTCTGTGATATGGTTGAGGGGGAGGTTTTTTATTGTAAATATGAAGGTCAAAACATCCAGAGGCATCTGGAATAGTCCAGAGCAGAGAAAAAGAAGTCAACTGGACATGACCAGCAGATTGGGCCTGGCCATGAGAGAAAGCAGGAGCAGAGCAGAGAGGGCAAACGGAGGGGAGGGAGTGAAGGAGACAGAAATGAGAGAGGCATGGCTGAAATAGGGTTATATGGAGAAATGAGAGGGGAGGGGTCATGAGTTGAAAAGGTTTAGGGTACAGGGTGCCAGCATGAGCTCTGAAATGTTTAACAGGTACTTGTGATACTGAGGGAGCCTGGAGTGTGAGCTTTAGTATGCTAATAAGCACCACAGATAGCCATTTGTGCCTTCTGCCAGTGACAAAGAAAATGGCTCCTTTCCGTAGTACCTGAAGACTGCTGACTTTTGTCTAACCACCACAATTTGGGGAAATGACGTGTCCTTTGGACCTGACAGACCTAACAGAGGACCATTTGGTAGGATTTATGAATTTTCACTGGGGAACAGCAAAGGGAAAACTGGAAAACTCCATTTTGAAATTTTGTATTGCTGTAGTTGTAGTTGTTGGAAACTCAGGAAGATATGCCAATCAAGAGGAATTTGTCTTTCATTGGTGTGTTCTCATGTGAGACAGGCTGAAGCAGTCTTCCTGACAAATATCCAATGGCTGCTCCCTTCCCATTTGTCATGTTCTGAGTCACCTTCTGGTCCCAGCCTCATTACCTTGTGTTATTTTCTTTGTAGCGCTTGTTTCTATCTCTGGTAACTCTGTTTGCGTTTACTTCTACCAAGAAAAACTATGGAATTTTTAATTCTATTTGTCTAGATATCACCCTTTGTTAGTTAGAATGCCTGGTGTCTAGCTCTTCATGACAGTAAAACAGGAGGCTGGACAGGAGAATGGACAAAGATGTCTGCCCCAAAATGAAGTCTCTTTCTCATGATCCGAGGGAGGTGGACTGATGGGGAGCAGTTTCTGGCTCAAGTCAGACTTGTGTTCTCTAACGACTCAGCAATGGGCAGAGCAGTGGTTGTAGGGTAGGACTCAATGTTTGCAGAAACAGGATCCTGAACCACTTGCACACAGAGAACTAGGTTATCTCCAGGTGTAGGTAGCAAGGGTGCTGCAGCTGGGGAGACAGCCTGGGGGAAAATAGGCAACAACACAAGCACTAAAGCCCCAAGATGAACTGAAATGTGGAGAACATCCTAACTGTAAGACCAGATACTCTCCTCAGATCTTTACCCATCCTGTTTAATTATCATCACACCCTCAGGAGGTAGGCACTGATATTTTCTACAGAATGAGGAAACTGAGGCACAGAGAAGAAAGTTACCCAAAGTCACATAGCAAAGCCAGCACTGGACCTGGGTACTTGGAACTAACACAGTGTGAGCAGGAAACCGCCTCACTGCTCACCGTACTGCTTCATAATTCAGGCTGGCCACACACCATGGGCACTCAGGGTTGGGCACCATTGAAGTTCCAAGAATGATTGACTGCCCAGGGTCTAAGGTGAAGATTAAGTAGATGCCATTTCAGAGCCTCTCCCCAGAGGAAAGATCTAGTCAGGCCATTGACTTGCAGCTGGCTGACGCTAAGGCAGGTTCAGGCAGACTGAAATGTCTTCTTGGATTAATTCCTCACACCTAGTACAGTATGTTTTTCACTAACCCTTCTTCAGATGACTACCCAATTAAATGATTTGACATGTGACATTTTGAGCTGTTGCTCTAGGTTTCCATCTGGCCTCTTTCCAGGTGTTAATTTCACACCAGCCTTGCTCCCAAGAGAGGGAAGACTTTGGGTTCTGCCCTAGCCCTGAGCTTCATCTGAGGCCTGGTTTAGGATGGTTTTATAGATTAACATCTGAGGAAAGGACAGCCCCAGGGCCAAGAGAATGAGAGCCAAGCCCTCTCAGTTTCTGAAATGATAAATAGTCCTGCCAGGTTGCTGTTAACAAAGAAATGCTCTGTAGAAGGGCTGGTCCTGCACCAAAGCTAATTAGGTTCAGCCAACACTTGAATTGAGACCTCCAACACACCTTGGCTCTACATCACCTCAGAGCCTGGAAGGAGGGTATCTAAGGGTACCTAAAAGTAGATCTATAAGGAGAGTGGCTATCCCTCATCCCTGAGTGCCTTTCTCTTGGAAAAAGCTCTGTCGGCTTCAATAGGTCTGACTGGCAGGGGCAACCACAAATGGTTATTGGAAACAAGTGAAAGCCAAAGGGAAGGCTGGGTAGATGCCAGGACAGATTTCAACCCAAAAGACAAGGTGTCAAGGGGAAGCCAATATGGTTCAGGGTCCATGAGTACTCTTGGCCCAAGCTACCCACCTTCCTCATTCTCTTAGATTTCAGGTGGGCACACACAGTTGTGGATATAGCATTTTGAGTCTCATTGTGCTGTCTAACCTGTATGAGTGATTGGAGGTGTTAAAGAAAAAAAAATATTCATGATACTTAAGAGGGTAAGCAAAGCAGACTTCGTTCAAGTGGAGGACATTTTCATAGGTATAGAGACCACTGTGCAGATTCTTGCCCCAAGGTAAAAGATTAGACTCAATTTTAACAATGAAAAATGGAAAATATAACCAAGAAGCAGAGTGGGGGTAGATGATAGTAAGATTCCAAGGTGAATTGTCATCAAAGGTAGGAAACATTTGCTAAAGTAACTTGGCAGGATTCTTGCTCAGAGTGGGTTCTTCAAGGACAGAGAATGAAGTTCACTGCCTGACCTATCAGAAGAGACTGAGGAGCCTGACTAAAGATGGGATTAAAGGAGAATCTGTCAGAGAGTTGGACTAGGGGAAGTGGAAAGAGCTCAGACCTTAAAGTCAAGCAATCTTGGCCTCAAATTTTAGGTCCTGATAACTTTGACAATTAGCATAGCAACTTCAACCCCTTGGCCTTTTCTGTATGAAATGGGAGCAATGCTTACACTGCATGCCAAGATTTTGAGATTCCATTGGGAAAGGACCCGATTTATGAGATGTTGGGAGCTCCCTGACTCACCATCCCTAGGATGTGTTATCTGATTCAGTCTTCCTGCCTGTACTGACTAATTTTATGTCAACTTGACACAAACTAGAGTTATTGGGGGGGGGGGCTCAATTGAGACAATACCTCTCTAAGACCTGGCTGTAAGCAAGCCTGTAGGACATTTTCTTAATTGGTGATTCATAGGGTTGTACCATCCCTGGGTTGGTGGTCCTGAGTTCTATAAGAAAGCAGGCTCAGCAAGCAAGCCATAAGGTAGACGCCAGTAAACTGCACTCCCCCATGACTTCTGGGTTAGCTCCCAACCCCAGGTCCTTGCCTTGCTTTCGTTCTTGTCCTGATGAACTGTGATGTGGAAGCAGAAGCTGAATATACCCTTTCCATGTTTTGGTCATGGTGTTTATCACTGCAATAGTAACCCTGAATAAGACACTGCTCAAGAACATGGTCATCATCTCAGTCCTCTGAAATGCCTGCATACTCCATTGTTTGGTCCAGATCCTAAAATTATCTGTAAACTTAAGTAACAAATTCATTAGCAATACCTACAAAAAACAGAGAGAGAAACATGAGCTGAGTAAAAAAAAAAAAACC